TTTTAAATGTTTTCTTTTTTGCTCTAATAACAATTTTGATACTAAATTAGATCGCAGAGTTGTACTTTTGGAATTCCAACTGGTAGACCTTATAATTGGGCCATGTAAAGGTTAAAGAGTTAAAGGTAAAGCATTCCACACTGCAGTTCTGGAACAGAGAACGTGTGCACTACCTTATAATATACATACATACACTTTAATGTTGATAGTTAAACATCTGAAAGGATTTCGCTGCACTTCCTTGCAAAGAATTTCTCATGGTAATTAAAGAAGGTAACGTCATGCAATCATATGTTGCAAAATTATTCGTTTGACATCATCTCATTGTCAAAATATTTATAAATCCATTGTAAATACTCAAATCAGAGATGGGAACCTATTTTCTATGCAGTGAAATTCGACAGGATAAGTTACAGAAAAATGCAGAATTGGGCATATAATTTGAAATGAAGTTACCTTGATTTAATTGTACCATGCATTTTCCCGCCCAATCCAAGTGCCTGCACCGTTTTGTTCAATGGTGTAAACCACCTAAATCATTTTCATCTTTCCCTTTTTTGTTCATCAATGGTTCAAATTTAATTTGTAGCTAGTTCCGCGCTCTTTTAGTGAATGTGTTCAGTTTTCCTCATGTCTTATTCGTAAACAACAGAGATCCCTCGGGGATTTTGCTTTTTGGCCTTTATATTCGTTTCGTTGGGGACGACTTTTATTTTGGTTTTCAAAGCGCGCATTTGCTATCTCACATTAAGGGCCTGTTCCAGAACCTGCAAAATCTCCTAGTTTTGCATAAAGGCAAAAGTGGTTATCATAGCAAAAACTTTTACATTCTTGCAGTTCTGGAACAGACTATAAGTTGAACAGGGCCTCAATTCTTGTTCTATGAAAATGTGAAATGAAAACTTTATAAAGAAAAAATCTCAAATGAGAATGTTATAAAGGAAATATTTTTCATTTCATATTTTCATAGAACAAGAATCCAGCTCCAGGACACATTAGTTCAACAGGAATTTGAAATCGACTATGAATAGTCGAATACTCGGTTTTCACCCAAGTCCATAGTCGAGTTCGAATTTCAGATTATTCACAACAACAAATAAGCGTCAAACCCAGCCAAAATAATATACAAAAAGAGCGCAAAAACAAAGGATCGAAAGCGCCATATCACCGATCAACATCGACATAACTGATCTTAATGAACGATTAACGAACCATAATCCACAAGATCAAAACAAATATGGATTCTTGGTGCTCTGGCCGATGTGGACATCGGAGGTCTGCTCCTGTAGAAAACACCAAAAATTCGAGTGACTGTGATGGTGCTCATAAAACCAAAATTTCGTGGTGCCCTCCAATTATTATTTTTGATGTCAATATCAAAGCTCTGGTTGAAAAGCTAAAAACAAGTTTGCCAGAATCACCTTTCAAGATCAAGAATGTCAATAGATCTAAAAGTAAATTATATTTTTCAGATCTCAAGGCCCACTCATCCATGATGACAATATAAAGGAAAAAATATACGATCATACTCATTTACACCTAAATCTGTACTCACTATATGACACAGAAGAAATAAAAGGGAACTAGACATACTGGTTCCAGATACTGTTGCCAGAGTCACCAAATTCACAACGCCATTGTCAATTAAAAATAACGTCGATACTGGACTTTTCATGGTAACACTTTTTCCATACTACAGAAATATCGCATATTAGAACGCTCCAGAACCAAGCTATAACATGGGAAAAACCAAGAAAGAAGATAGTGAAATTCAGTGCCGCAGATGTCAAGGTTTAGGCATATAGCTCGGAACTGCAACAGTCCATACAACTGCGTTAAATGCGACCAAAAACACCTCCCTGGTGAGTGCCAACGTACCATCTCTGACGCAACAGATCCTTTCTGCATTAATTGTAAAAACATGGTCACCCAGCGAATTGGAAAGGATGTCCAATTTATAAACAATATGTCATCGTCAGAAAACAGAAAATAGCAAAAGCCACCGAAAATAAAACATCGCACAAAGAAATGTTAACAAATTTTTAATATGTCGACAATTTCACCTGTAAAAACCTTTTCTAGTTTACTCAGTAAAATGCCAACAGATCGCACGGAAAGCTTTCAAAAACCGCCGTTATTCAAGTATTCTTGAAACTGGCCAATTTCTTCCTACAACCTGAAGAACATACCCTGGAACAGGAAATTCAAATTTTTTAAATGAGTTCAAGAATATGCCAAAGAACGAAGCCAAAAAGGAGTTTTTACAGCTTCTAGCTAAAGTAAAACGTTATGGTCCATAAAATCTTTAAATGTTTAACATTCAACGTACGTTCACTAGTTGCTACTAGTCGAAGAATTGAACTACAAAAATTCTACATAGTGAAAATATTGATGTGCCTTCATACAGGAATGTCATCTCCAAAGACAAAGATATGTAAAGATTTATGGATACAAATTTTTATACGACAATTCTTCTCTGGAGTTGCAGTCATAGTGAAAAACAATATTGTTTTTTAAGCGTATAAACCCAATTATGTTGGTATAAATTCAACTTTATAGAAATTGAAACCATTGTGAATAACTGCTCAAAAAGGTACTTGTTGGGTCACTGTATGTACAATGTAGCTATCCTGTGAACTTGCTTGACTCTGACTTGAATAGCTTCTTCAATTATGCAATTCCTTTGACGGACCAAATAAAATAAAGAAGTTCCTTAAAGTAAAGCATCAATGGCAGAAAGAATTAAAGAAAATTTTTCATAGGACGGGAAACAGAATCAGTCTTGAGTATTCTATACTCTCTAAACAAGTCCAACTTTTAAAAACTATTATTAAAGAATTAGTAATATAGAGTCTGCCAGGAAATTCAATGAAAGTTAAAAATATTAAACCCAGTCCATCTGCATTCAAGCAATTTCCCAAATAACAGGAAAAACAAATCAGCATATTGTCAAAAACTGCAACATGGAAATGACTTTATTACAAACAGCCTGAATAGCAAACAAGTTTGAATCTTATAATTCTACTTATTTGAAGAAAAGTTACCTTTAAATCCAGTCGACGATCTCACTTCTCGAGTTGATTCCTGTTTGGATTATCACCACAACGCACATTTATTCTTTTGACGATAGATTTTGTGCTATGAACATCCAGATAGATTCCACTTCACCTCTTCTGAAACGATAAGGAACATTATTATGAATATAAATACAAAGAATCAAGTGGTCCGGATGGCATTTCAAATTTTTTAATCAAGAAATTTCCTGATTCTATATAAATTTTTTTACGTGCGTATTTAGATCACTGCAAAAACACGGCTATTTCCCTTTACAATGGAAACTGGCGAAAATTATTCCAATCAAAAGAAAACAAATAGCACCACGGTGGACGACTTCAGGCCAATTTCACTTCTTTCAAACGTTGGAAAAATACTTGAATCGGTCCTGAAAGAAAAAATTGAAAATCAATTAATTATTAATCCAATCCCGAACTATCAGTTTGGATTCAAACCTGCCCATTCAACCACTATACTCACTCCTCAAGTTCCACAACGACATAACATCAAATTTAAGAAATCAAAAGTGCACCGTTGCTGTATCTTTGGATATTCAAAAGCTTTCGACTCCGTATGTCATGTTGGAATTCTATATAAGCTCATTGAAATTGGCATAGATCTATACCTCATAAAAATGATGCTTAGTTTCTTCAATTGCCGCAAATTCATGGTGCACATCAATGGTATATCTTCCTCAATAGGTTAGTAAGGAGTGGTGTACCTCAAGGAAGTGTGTTGGCGCCACATATGTTTAACTTTTTTCTGTACGATTTTCCCCACATTGGCCAAAATTCGCAATCGATTCTTTACGCGGACGATTGCTTGATTTACTCGCACTACGCTTCACCGACAACCGCTCTGAATAGCGTAAAAGCCCATTTAAATATTATCAACAGCTACTACAAAACGTGGGGTATGCAAATCAACGCTTCAAAATCAGCCGCAATTTGCTTCCGAAACGCCTCTGGAAAATGTGCAAAATATGTAGTCCCAGAAAGTAAGCTGTTACGGTTGACATTGGAAGACATTGAAATCCCATTGAAAACGTCAATAAAATATCTGGGGGTTCATTTCACCAACCTTTTCAAATTCAACCAGCACGCACGATCTATCATAAAAAGGCAAAAGGAATATTAGGAAAGTTCTCACACATTTTAAACAACAAATACTTACCCCAGAACACAAAACTACTTCTCTATAAAGTAGCGATAAGGCCTATTTTATTGTATGGGTTCCCGGTCTGGTTTACCATTTCACCAATAGTAGCCAAAGAACTGGAAATCCTTGAGCGGACAATATTAAGAAAATGTATCAACAAATCTTACTCAAGTCAACAAAAAAGATACTCAAATACTTACATTTACAATACATCAAGTATTGTTCCTCTCTGTAAGTATGCACAAAACCAACAGAAGAGATTTGTTGAAAAACTGGCCACGCATGAGAACTTCCTCCTAAATGAAATCCACGAACTGGAAAAATACACGAACTGGTCGGAATCACCATATTTGTCTCCAATAGGAATTATAATGAACCCGATGAAGATTCCGCTGTATACACACTGCCACAGTTCTACGAAAAAAATATACAGGGTTGTCACAGAGGATAAGAATTAATTTAAACAAGTAAAAAGCAGTAAGTTCGGCCGGGCGGAACTTTGAATACCCTCCACCATTTGGAACGAATTAGAAAATTTTCAAAAAAATTAAAATCCAATAAAAATTCTTTTAAAATCCTTAAAATATCCAATATAGGAAGGTGCCGATATATGGGGGGATATACGATATTGTGGACCTATAAAGACAAATCTATGTCCTGCGTGTAAAGTACTCACAAGGAACTTCGTGTGTGGATTTTCAGACAATACGATTGGAAAATGTGGCTAAAATCATCAAAATACCGAATATCGCGGGGTACCGTTATATGAGAGCTATACGTTATCGTTAACCTATATAGAGAATTCTCTGTCGGTGGGTAAAGTGCTCACAAAGAACCCCTTGTGTACAAAGAACCCCTTGTGACCATTCCGTTGAAACATATGGCTAAAAACATCAAATACCGAATATCGGGGGGTACCGTTATATGAGGGCTATACAATATCGTGGATCTATATAGATAATTCTCTGCCGAGGTATAAAGTACCCACAAGGCACTCCTTGTGTGGATTTTCAGACAATTCCGATGAAAAATGTGGGTCAAATCATAAAATACCGAATATCGGGAGGTACCGTTATATGGGGGATATACGATATCGTGGACCTGTGTAGACAATTCTCTCTCAGGGGGTGAAGTACTCACAAGGAACTACTTGTGTTGATTTTAAGACAATTCCATCGAAAAGCGTGGCTAACATCATCAAAATACCGAATATCGGAGGTTACAGTTATATGGGGGATATACGATATCGTGGACCTACATAGACACTTCATTTTGAGGAGGTAAAATGCCCACAAGGAACTCCTTGTGTGGATTTTCAGACAATTCCGTTGAAAAATGTGGGTAAAATCATCAAAATACCGAATATCGGGGGGTACCGTTATATGGGGGCTATACGATATTGTGGACCTATATAGATAATTCTCTGCTGAGGTATAAAGTACCCACAAGGAACTCCTTGTGTGGATTTTCAGACAATTCCGTTGAAAAATGTGGGTAAAATCATCAAAATACCGAATATCGGGGGGTACCGTTATATGGGGGCTATACGATATTGTGGACCTATATAGATAATTCTCTGCTGAGGTATAAAGTACCCACAAGGAACTCCTTGTGTGGATTTTCAGACAATTCCGTTGAAAAATGTGGGTAAAATCATCAAAATACCGAATATCGGGGGGTACCGTTATATGGGGGCTATACGATATTGTGGACCTATATAGATAATTCTCTGCTGAGGTATAAAGTACCCACAAGGAACTCCTTGTGTGGATTTTCAGAAAATTCCGTTCAAAAATGTGGGTAAAATCTTCAAAATACCGAATATCGGGGGGTACCGTTATATGGGGGCTATACGATATTGTGGACCTATATAAATAATTCTCTGCCGAGGTATAAAGTACCCACAAGGAACTCCTTGTGTGGATTTTCAGACAATTCCGTTGAAAAATGTGGGTAAAATCATCAAAATACCGAATATCAGCGGGGTACCGTTACATGGGGCCTATACGATATCGTGGACCTATATGGACAATTCTCTGCCGAGGTATAAAGTACCCACAAGGAACTCCTTGTGTGGATTTTCAGACAATTCCTTGAAAAATGTGGCTAAAATCATCAAAATACCGAATATCGGGGGGTACCGTTATATGGGGGCTATACGATATTGTGAACCTATATAGATAATTCTCTGCCGAGGTATAAAGTACCCACAAGGAACTCCTTGTGTGGATTTTCAGACAATTCCGTTGAAAATGTGGGTAAAATCATCAAAATACCGAATATCGGGGGATACCGTTACATGGGGGCTATACGATATCGTGGACCTATATAGATAATTCTCTGCCGAGGTATAAATTACCCACAAGGAACTCCTTGTGTGGATTTTCAGACAATTCCGTTGAAAAATGTGGGTAAAATCATCAAAATACCGAATATCGGGGGGTACCGTTATATGGGGGCTATACGATATCGTGGACCGATATAGCCCATCTTCGAACTTGACCTGCCTGCATACAAAAGAGAGATCTGTGCAAAATTTTAGCTTCCTATCTTAATTCGTTTAGACTGTAGCGTGATTACAACAGACGGACAGACGGACGGACAGGGCTAAATCGTCTTAGAATTTTACGCTGATCAAGAATATATATACTTTGTTGGGTCTAAAATGATTATTTCGATGAGTTACAAACGGAATGACAAAGTTAATATACCCTCCATACCTTTTTTGGTGGAGGGTATAAAAAAAAAACTTAGTTACAACAATTTACTCACCAATTATTGTGAGCTCTACCTGGGCATTCGATTTTATAACAATTCATGTTATTTAAAACAAATCTGTGATATTTACACATACAAATCTGTTAGTCGCTGTCTAAAACAGATCTATTTGTTATTTAGTTTTTTAAGTTTTGTTTTGATTTTAGTTGTGTTCCAGAACCTACAAATTAGTACTAATTAGTACTAATTCTGCTACAACGCGTTCCCGTACTACAAAAACTAGCAAAACTTGCAGCTCTCTCGAGAAAAAAATGGCGCTGAGTGGTGCACATTTCTGCTTGTTTTAGCTACATGAATTTGGCCGAGCAGAAATGTGCAAATTGTGAATTTGACATTTAATTGGCAGGGCTAACAAGGTTGAAAAATGTATTGATACATTTCAATGTTCCCGCGTCATAACAAAAATAAAGAAATGATCTACTTAAAAACTAAAGGAAAAACTAATATTTGTAGTGCAAAAAAAAGGGAAAATATGGAACACTTTTGGATGATTCCAGTAGTGAAAAGGACTGGCTGAATGATGAATCAGATTATTAATTATTATTATAGATTATTAATTTCAACATATCGTCTTCAATACTATTTTTTTTTTAAATTTTGGCGTCCGTTTCAGTAAGGTTTCACCAGTCCGATTTGGACTGTTTACTCTTGGAATTTTGAATTTTGACATTTTATCGCATTTCTGCTAATTTTCCGTTCCCTTATTTTTTGAGCACACCTAATTGAGAATGACATTTCGAACTGTTCTCTCTTCTGCTAGTTTTACTACTAAAAAAGTACTGGAACACAACTTTTATATTTATTAGTTTGCAGACACAATCGCTCTGTTCGTCACAGCTGAGGCAATGAGCAAGCCTCTCTCTCACAACCATTGTTTTTATCTTTTTACTCTTTGTTATCGTTCGCATGTAGCAAATGCTTCAATCACTATAGTTAGAACAAGACGAATATAGTTCTAAGTATTATGATAACCATTCGCTTTGTATGTTATCATTGTACTGAAAAGAAGAAGACTCAAATAAAATATACTATACTATACTTAAGTTTAAGAATATAATAAAAAAAACATATTTTTTAAGTAAAAAATTTTACAAACCCCTTGATAATAAATGAAAATATTAATGAAAACATCATAGCTGCCGGTTCACATAAATCACTCCAACTAACAATGTTGTTACAGTGTCTGAAATGTGCACGTCTTACGAAATCACCATCACCCAACGTCTTTTGGACTTTTAGAAACTTTACTACCGGTCGACAGAATTTATCTCACCGATTGTTGCAGAATGGTATGCCAAAGTCTCAAGGACAGTTGTTGCAATCCAGGAATCGTCAAGCTAATTCATGGATATCACGGCGGCTGAAAAATGTTGAAGCTGCCGGAAAGGGTAAAGCGCCAAAGGTCAAAATTAAGAAAAGCGATGTTGCAAGACTAATGGGCTTGGCTAAGTCTGAAAAACTGGTATTGGCTGGTAAGGACAGTTCACAGTCGTTTTTTTTTTCTTAATTGGCTACTTACGTGTACTATTGTAGCTGCCATTGGCTGTTTGGTTATTTCCTCCTCCATAACAATGAGTGTTCCGTTTGTTCTTGGGAAAATTCTGGATATCATATTTGACAAAGATAGCGAAAAAGCTGGCCAAGCACTGGACCGATTAAAACATTTTTCTTTGATACTATGCGGCGTTTTTTTAATTGGAGGTTTGGCAAATTTTGGTCGCATTTACTTTTTCAATAGTGCATGTAAGTTTAATTCATTCTTTAAATTGTTTGACGCAAATGCATTTCTTCAGTTGTTACCTCTAGCTTTGCGGATTGTTCGCGACCTACGATCAAAACTATATAGACGGATGTTAAATCAAGAAGTCGGTTGGTTTGATCAAAAAGGCACTGGCGAACTAGTAAATCGTTTGGCAACAGATACTTATTTAGTCGGAAATTCACTGAGCCAAAACTTATCAGATGGTTTACGATCGACGGTCATGGTGTTAGCAGGTACAGGAATGATGGTATGTAATCCTAGATTATAAAATGACATGGATATGCAATTTTACAATCGTTTTCAGATATACACATCACCTCAGTTGGCCCTCATCAGTACATGTGTGGTGCCATGCGTTGCAGGGATAGCTATTGTCTATGGCCGTTATGTCCGCAAAATAACACGTAGTCTTTTAGACAAGTTGGCCGATATTTCCAAGTCTGCAGAAGAACGTTTGGGAAATGTGAAAACTGTAAAAACCTTCTCAAGAGAAATGAAGAGTGTAAAACATACGATAATTTGCTGGGAGAAGCTTTACAACTGGGTTATAAAGAAACTCTTGCTCGAGCAATGTTTTTTGGAACGGTAATTATGTTTTTATTCAAAAAATTGAGAACAGAGCCTATTTTATGGGAAATAACATATTTTAATTATTTATTCTTTTCTTTCAATTCCTTTACTTTTTAGACTGGCATGTCAGGCAACATCATTATAATATCAGTTTTGTATTATGGTGGCAATTTGGTAATTCAAGACGCTCTATCTATTGGTGCTCTGACGTCGTTTATTTTATACGCTGGATATTCGGCAATATCACTAAACGGACTTTCCAATTTTTACACCGAGCTTAACAAAGGAGTGGGTTCAGCACAAAGAATATGGGAAATTTTAGACCGCAAATGTCTGATACCAACAAATGCTGGTATGATACCAGAGATAAAGCCGCGTGGAGAAGTTATTTTCGAAGGTGTTAATTTCAATTTTCCCGCCAGACCGGATTCCGTAGTTTTAAATGATTTTAGTTTAGTTTTAAGACATGGGCAAACAACTGCTCTTGTTGGACGTAGCGGTTCAGGAAAAAGTACAATAGCATCATTGTTACTAAGATTGTACGATCCATTAAAGGGTCGCATTTTATTAGATAATCTCGATTTAAGAGATGTAAGTCCGGTATGGTTAAGAAAACACATTGGAGCTGTAAGTCAGGTAAGTACGTGTATTTGAAATTTATTAAAAATAACAAAAATTTGTTCTTCAAGGAACCTGTCCTCTTCTCTGGGACAATACGCGAAAATATACTATATGGACTCAATCCAGGAGATACAATAAAAGAATCTGACTTCGAAGATATTGTACGAAAAGCTCATGTTGACGAATTCGCGGAACAATTACCCAATGGTCTGGATACTTTAGTGGGCCAGAGAGGCATGATGTTGAGTGGGGGACAGAAACAAAGGGTCGCAATCGCAAGAGCATTAATCAAAGTGAGTTGTATCTGTGAACAGTATAAGTAATAACTACATGCTTAAAAATATATACATCTTTGTTTTAGAATCCTACCATTTTAATATTAGATGAAGCAACAAGTGCGTTGGACTCCGTCTCGGAAGAATTAGTTCAAAATGCTTTGGAGGAATTGGCGAAGGGAAGAACTTGTTTGACAATAGCCCATCGACTAAGTACCATACGTAATGCTAATACAATAGCTGTATTAGATAATGGACAAGTTGCCGAACAAGGCACCTATGACGAACTTATTACACGAGATAGTGGGACATTTAAGGAATTAGTAAAAAAGCAAGCTTTCCTAATGAATACATGATAGCACAACTAAATTTATTGTATATACACACAAGCGACCTATGTTTGGTTTAAAAGTTTTAGACAAATTGTTAAACATTTGTTGTTAATAAATACAATGTTTTGTACAAATTTATATTCGGCCAGCGTAAAGTATTTGCAATCAGCATATTGCTGAAATATAAACATACAGGGTGAGATGAAAAAACTACAACCAACTTCAGACTGCTGTAATTTCTGAGCCACTCCCACAGCTGTTAAAATTATTCCAGTTACAGCTCATTATATTGTTTACAAGCGTACAAAAGCATTTTGGTGAGAATTTTGCAGAAAAAAATTATTCGTGATGGAATTCAAGCGTTATAGTGTTATTTCTTTATATTTGGCTGGAAAACCACAATTGGCTATCGTTAGAGCACTCCAGCATTTAAATGTGAATAAACCTTTTGTGTCTCGTACCATTGCTCGTCAAGGAAGTGGACGGAAGAAGACAGCAACATCAGCAGAAATGGTTCGAAATCGCATCGCAGTGGGAGAAAGTGCAACAATTTGTTTGGATTATGTTAGGGTTTAAGGTTTAAATACGACGAACCGTATAAAAATACTTACCTTTCATACTAGGCTTACATGTTCTTCACTGCTGTATTATCCAAATAGGGAAGGTCCAACCAAGACAAAACAATGATAGTTACAAAAATAAATGAGGATTACTAAAGCATTTTACAGATTGAAATTATTGTATTGTTTTTTTTTTTTTATTTTCAACATAGTTCCATTAATGTTTTTTTTTTTTTTTCAAATTTAAAATTTGGTGCGCACGACACATTTCGGCATAATTGTACATTAGATGGCAGTTATCCAGCCGTATGAGACTAAGACTCACCCTATATATATATTACAGGTCCACTATTCTAAAGTTTCCGCCACAATTCCGACCGAAGATTTTCTCATCGTAGGATAGAGGGAAAATATTGCAAAACAGCGCAATGAATCGCATTTAATAAAATATTAATTAATTAACTTTCTTCAATGATCTAGGATGAGTCATAAGGATTCCTTAGCAATTTAATTGAAGATTCATAATTCTTTTGTAAAATAACTAATTTATCTTATTCTTAATAATGTTGTCATTTGTTTAAAACAAGCCTTCATACAATTGATAAATTGGCATATTGTATAAAATTTAAAACCCAGATTTACGAGTCGCACATTTAATGCTCTCAGTACTAAAAATTATTATACAAACGAATATTGGAAACGTGCACGATCGTTAAAATATTAAACATTAGGATTACTTATTCAAATATTGTTCAATTACAGCAAACCACATTTGGATAATCTTTGAATAACATCTGGCAATGAAATGGAATAAAAATGATCATCAGAAAATGCTTTGACGCGATTGCACTTCACAATGCTGCCATGAGGTATAAGTTCTTCAAGTTTAGCCACAATTTCTTCATTGCAGGATTCCGGCAATCCTTTAAAAAAATAAATTACAATTCTAATAAAAAAAAACAACTCAAAACTTTACACTAACCTTCAATTTCACAGTCTGCTGTATAGATTGGATAAGTAAACTGTGTTGGGTAGCGTCGAATGTCATCGATGTGAACTATTGACACATTACCGTAATCAATGAATAGAATTGTGGGATATCCATCTCCCACCACTTCCAAGCAACGTCCTCGATACCAAAGACCATCTTCGTTGTATTTTACAATACAAAGTTCATCTTGCCTACGTGGGAAACAAATTGTTATATTATGGTTACGCCATACACAAAACAAAATTACCTCGGCGCATATCCTTCTTTTGGTATCATTTCCACATATTTTTGCAATTCCTTCTGGAACTTCTGGATCTCCACTGCATAGGGCTTTGTGGTACAAGATATACATCCGGTACTCATTGATGAATTGTCCATTACAATTAATTCGATATTTTCACCACTGGGTAAATGTTTCTGTTGGAGGTACTGCGGGTTTTGAAAGAAAACATGTTATTAGCTTTATTTCGTTTATAAATAAACTTGGCTACAAATTGGTCAGCATCAGCACACAGTTTTAGTTATTGCAAAAATACTGAAATTTAAAAGAATTCAAATTAACGTGATTTTTTAAAATTACTTACCTCTATATAGCAAATTTCATTGGTTGACTGTGGTTCTGTAGGCTTAGACAATTTCACAATCATTTTGTTTAAATTCTGTTGTGTCGTCTCATCGATAAGTTCCACCTGATAAACACCCTTTTCCTGCTGATAATCCTCTGGTTTGTATTTTATACAAACATTAATGCCATTTAGATAAGAATACATAAAATTCCGTATCTGTTCGGTCATGTAGCAATCTGGAACATCCTTAAGTATTACTGGCAACGCATGCCTTGGTTTTTCGGAAAATTCGATTGGGGCTTCATACAAATCCTCCAGTCTTAAGTTATCCAAATTGCCATAGTCCATATAATTAACAAATATTTTTTCAGAATTATCGGAATTCAGTACAAGTGCTCGATTGTATTGATCACCAAATTTAGCAATAACAACATTGCCACACTTTGGTTTATCTTTTAGGGGTTTTAATTTTTTCCCTAAAGCTTGTATACCATCAATTGTTTTAAAATAACTCATATTATCTTCATACGTCTTGGCTCGAATAAATACAATGTTTGTTTTACTTATAGAAGTTATTGTAACAATATTACCACTCCTAGGAATTTGAGGATTGCAATAACTTTCTGTTGTGTTCTTGTTTGGGGAATTTAATGTTTTCGAGCATTCTACAGCACTTGGCTTTGATTGTGTAATTGTTGCTTGAGATTTTTTGTGTTCTAATGAGATTTTCTGCAAGTTCCTAAAAGTGCATTAATAAGTCATATATAGTGAAGTATTTTCAATAATTCTGCGCCTGTTTGAATGAAGATTCTATTTTTGTTAACGTAAATGTATGAACGATAAATACAAAATCTTGTAAAAATTTGTTTACATACTTTGGTTTTCCACATACGTAACGATGTTCCTGCCAATCATTTCTTTGGCATTCCACACTGCAGTAGTGGGTCGAACAACGGCTACAAATTGTGTCGCATTCACGTTCGCAAGTATTGCATTTTCCAATTTGAGAGGGTTTTTCAAACCCATTTAGTTTATTAACATATTTTTCGGTGGATGGTGAGAACCTACCGGTGGATTCCTCGCATTTCTTTGCTACGAACTCCCTTATGTTGTCCGACATTCTGAAATTTGTTTGCAATAAAATCAAATTGCAGAGGTCTGCCACATCTATGTTAAAACATTGCAAAAACTTACTGTATATAGGAACGACCTGTTTGATATTTGAATTTGCTGTGCTTTATGGGATCGTTTACGTCCTCACGTTCTAAGTAGTGGGCATCATTGTTAAATATTTCTGCTGGATAGCCGTTACATTTGTCCTCTTCAATCTGTCGATTTTGTTCAACTATTGGTCTAGGTAGTTGTTTGCTTGAAACTCTGATTGTACGATTTTGATAATCAATGCCAGTTGTGCGTGGCTGTACGGCTATTATATTATTTTCTTTGTTATAATCCATTGGCGTTAGATTTTTCTTGTGTCTTCCTACAAACACTTGGAATCCGTAATTATTGTTCTCCAGTGCACGAAATGTGGCTTCCATATCACTATATAAAATAGAGATAATATGATATTGAACATGAATCGTAATACAATTTATAAATATGTTATCGACTTAAACACAATACATCAAAGGGACGTTGTTTCTCATAAACATTATACTTAAAACTTAGATTTATGCTGTAACCTGTTGCAGATGATGTATACTAATAGAGTACTCCATACCATATTGCAATAACTAAATAACGCAAAATATTTTTTACTTTTTTTATGCAACTTCTGTTCAACATTCAACATAATCATTCGTGTGGCGATATAAACTTTAGTGGCCAATATCAAAGGAGGTGTTAAATCATGCAGACATGCCCATCGTTTTTGATGGAAAAACTACCTCCAGTAAAAGTTATCTTTTCCCGGTAATTGGTTTCAAGTTTACAAATGCAAATATCTTTCGCTTATTGAGTTTATGTTACACTCATACTTACGCCACTGTCGCGAAATCAACAAAGAAGTAATCACACTTTTGACTATCCCTTACGGATTTTACGCTGCCATGCTTTGAACATATATTTCTCAAAGCAGTCTTGCTCATTTTGGGTGGCATATTTTTAAATACCAAGTATGGTGTTGGAGCATCCTTCGTTGGAGTTGCCTTTCCATTGTTGTAATTGTTTGCCAATTGCAAAGACGAATCAAGGTTGGCTCCAGGTCCTGTACAATATTGATTGAATTCCACGCTTTTGTAGTCTTTTTCCATTGGATTCCATTTATGGAAACCCTCGTTCAAGTTGTCGTCACTCATAACAAGTAAAATTGTATGTATTTTACGTAATTATGATATAAACAATAAAATAAATTTTCGAAATCCTTTAAAGCTTAAACGCCGCTACCCCAACAAATTAGGGAACAACAAATCGAGTTTTCCGATTAAGAAGCCGGGCATGCATGACATGGTTGACGCTCATCGGCAACACATCAAATTTCGTATTTTACACTGTAAAATTTACAGTAATGTCAGCAAAAAAGAGCAACTATTGAAACGTGTGGGAGAACTGTTTTACCCATAAAGAAAAGAGAATAAAAACTTGTAAAAATGTATGATAAAATTATAACAATATACAATAACCTTCCCAAACCCTTTTTGGACTTCAGAGTTTTAAATGAAAATTTATTAAAATTATTGAAATTTGTTAAAAATTAAAAACCTCTGAACTTGGCTTAACTCTAGTAAAAACTCTTCAATTTTTTTTTTAATTTTTTCCAGTGGTAGGTATTTTTACCCTGATTCCGGGAAACTATTTTTTTCTTGGGGGACAGACCTGGGACCCCAGATTTTTTACCCGAAAGTCCGGGTTCAAGACCCCGACTAGACCCGGATCCAAATACCCGATATAGACAATATAGATATCGTTGGAAAGCTTA